AATTCGCTCTCAAAACGCCAATTCGGGCGCAGAGCGATGGAGCGCCAATGGTTTGAGCGAATTATGTGACTTAGACTAAAACCATAAATTTTCATAATTTTTTGAAAATATTTCATGCTAATCAAGTTCATTATGGAAAACTTACTATTAGACGAAGCCTAAGAGCATCCGCACCAGCCTCTCCGAATTTTGGCTCTTTAAAAATGCCACTCCAACTTTTTCAAGAGCCATGTCAACAGCTTTCGCTCTCTAGAAACAGGTACTCCATCAAGCTCTCCAGATTTTTCACTATCTAAAAATAATAATATATATATATATCTAAAAATAATATATATATATATATATATATATATATATATATATATATATATATAACTTTTTCCTAATGGTTATATTTTTTTATCTTATATAATGAACACTCGTTATATGGATTAAAAAATAAGATTAATATTATAACTTTAAACAGTACATTACCAATTATATAGATTAAAAAAGATATGACTAATATTATAATTTTAAACAACACAGTATCCATATAATTATATGGATTAAAAAGTTAGGATTAATATTACACAACTTTAAATGATACATCATCCATTATATGGATTAAAAGTTAGGATTGATGTTATGCTTCATGACAACAACTTTCTAACTCAAATTTAGTGTCTGTTTGATTACGAAAAATCTTTTTACCTTCTGTCATCTACACAAAATAATTAAGAATAAATTAAAAGTCGAATATTTAAAATATTTACGAATTATATTTAAAACAATAAATAATTCACCATATCATCAGTGCTGAAGCCACTGGGGTGATTCATTTCAATGTTAGTCATGCACCCAAAAAATTTGCTGATTTGTTTTCGGATGATGGACCAACGATTCATCAAAGTTACTGCATTTCGCGAAGATGGAATACCAAGATGTTGTACATAACTTTCAAGGATTCACTCCCATAACTTTTTCTTACTTTGATCTACCTCCGTATTCGCATTGGAGATAATGGACATCCACGCCCAACATAAAGCCTCATTTTGGCGGTGGACCAATTTCAATTTCAGATAATCGGTTGTTGTATGAAAGGTTGAAAGTTACTTGATCGAGGATCCATGGAATCGGATTGAGTTTGAAAGTTGTTGTGTGCCAAGATTGAGAGAATAAAAGATGAAATACCTTGAATGGTAGGGAATAAAGATAGGTTAGATGTGATGAATGGCGGTAGGAGTTGGGGTATTTATAGAAGAAAAATGAATTTTTTATTTTTATTTTTTGCAAAATGTAAAAAAATAATATTAATAATTTTCTAAAATTATAGCCGTTGAGGCACTGTTTGGCTGACCAAATGCACTGTTTGTGGCATAAATTTAAATTTTAAAGCACAAAAGGTTTAAAAAAAAAAAAAAATCAATTTTTAAGGGAAAAAAAAAAAGGTTTTTTAATTTATTTTTTGCCCACATCATTTTTTTTGGACAAACAGTGTCTAAAATATATATATATATTTTTAATGAATTTTATTTAATTTTTTTTTTTTAAAAAGAGAGCTTAAAATCACCCATTTTAGGGTTTTTTCCAAAAATACCTGTTGGGCCCTGTTACATAACGTTGCTGCCAGACGTCTAAAAGGAAACAAGGCGGCTCCATAAACGACTTCATTTTATCAAACAACAAAAAAATAAACCGCCCAGATGCTCTAAGCCTCTAATGGATTTATTCTTTTCTTTTAATTTATATATTCTATTATTTGAACAACATTTTATACTCTGTTTCTGCACAAAAGTTATTTAAATGTTTAGGAAAAAATATGCATGTACTCATTGTTGCTAGATTGGTTATAAGCTCACTACACTCTTACACAACCTGTTTCAAACCCATAGTTATTAGGTAAAAGAGTTCAAAACCATTCGCCTGAAACATTAAGAATGAAGCAGTACTTGTGAGAGGAGGATCCATCAGGTTGAGATACTTCTACAAATGATCCGTCAAATTCACACTTTACTAATATTATGTTCGGAAGCAACTAGTCCATTAATTAAATTTAGAATTAGAGAAAATTTTAATTCAAAAGCTATCCATCTTCACGATTATCAACATCAGCTGTTCCTGGACTTACAAGTGAGCCAACTGGGGCCATGGTGGTAGATCGACATAGGAGCAAAGAGTTCCACCACCCCGGCCAGGTATCATATAGTTTCATCAACTCCTTCGAATGAAAGAGTCGATAAACTAAAGTTCATCCAATTCCAAATTCACCGGAAGATATTCTAAGAAATGATGGATCAAGTGTTGATTTTAAACAGAGTCATCGGGACATTGAATGCATTCTGCTATATATATGAATATCACCGAAAAGCCAACCGCAGACAGTTGCCACACTCACCTTATTTGAATCATACAACCATTTGTCACAAACTCACAATGCAGTGAATCACCAAAGAGTCAACAAAGTGATGAGGAAATTTGTTTCCCAGATTAAACTTTACAATTCAAAAAGACATTCAATTACTTGAAAAGCAGAGGAAACAAAAAATAAAAATATAAAATATAATAAATAAATAGGTGCCTAACAAAATTTTGTACACAATTATAAGATATAAATGGCTTGCTAAGGACATCAGCTGAGCCAAGTTAAACTAGTTCGAAGATGCCAATAGTCTTCCATAGGCTAATCAAGAAAGGTAATAGTGAATATATAGAACCACATGAGGTTATTCGTATCAATTTCAACATCATTGCTGCAACAAAATCTTTTGTGAAAGGGATGAAAATGTGTAGCGTCAGCTATATAGCAGCATTACACTACAATGAATCACTAAACAAATTAAATAACGAAGAATATGAGAAACCTATTTCTAGAAGCAGAAATATATGTTTCTATGTTCTCGATATGGCCAAGATTTTGGGTTAGCCGAACTAGATTTTAAAATTCCTAAGAAGGGGGACCAAGTAAGATTTCTTACCCACATTCCACCTCTAAGTCGTGTCTTTTGGTTAGAGCCCCATTCTGCAAGCATAAGGCATTACCGGAACTCCCTTCAACAGTTCCTCTAATTTATGAGTGTTGTATTTGCTCATTCTTCCAGGAATTTTTACCCACTTCTGCAGATGAAGTTGAACCATTGGAATCCCCATCACCATCCTTTGGTTTTGAGAAGAAAGGATCCCATTCATAAGCTCCCACTTCACGTTGCCCGTCCTCTAATTTGGCATATTTCCAACTAACTACCTCAATGAAATTCGAATTTGTATGACCTTCAACGATGTCTCTCCTCAGTTTTGTAACTTTGTCGATTACTGACTGTACAGAAACATCAAATGCATCTTTTAAAGTTTCCAATTTGGAGCGAGGATCTGCATATATCAATCTCGGGATGAGACTTATAACTTCCTCCCTCTTTATTTTCACCTGCTCGGGAGAAATTTGGTGGAGCCTTTGCTCTATGCTAACATTCCTCTTGCGTATATCATTCTCTGATATAAATACTGAATACTTTTGAGTAATTCTTTCCATGTATTTTGTGTATTTGCCGAACCCTGATGGAGGAAGACAGGTATGCAACCTGCCAACATCGAGTCAGAAGCAGATCTTCTCGTGTACGAATCACCTAGACGTTGCAGGCAGAAAAGAGAGCCTTGGAACATCTGAATTATACTGCCAGGTGAATAACACTTGCTTCCACCAGATTCCACAGAATCACATTCCAAGAGTTTTCGATCCTGGAGTTCTTGCATTGATCACTAATCTGCCCTCTAATCGACTTGGAGTACTCGGGACGTGGAGCACCAGCAAAGGAGAAGAGCCAATTGCGTTTAGCTTTCTCACCTGATTCTGCCAAATGAACACAGCAGCATCTTTTGCCGGATGGAAATAAGTGGGATATGCAATAGATAAGGGCTTGCTTAGTTTGTAACTCTGAAAACAGTTCTCAGAAACTCAGAAAATAGATAACTGTGTTTTACATTCTTCAGTACTGGGGTCCAAGCTCAGTTTTAGTAGTTAATTTACACATGTTCACCCAACGACTAAGACTCTTAGACTCCTTAGGCAAATCCTCTTTGAACTACGGAGGAAGGTCATGAACATAAATATACCTCCCACAACTTGGATCTATTCCCTATGGTTCTCAAAGACTTCATAAATGTGTAATTATTTGAATGATGAGCAAAATGAGTCGTTGGAGGCGGAGAAATAGAAGGCGTTCGAGGCAGAGGAGAACTAGAAGCCATTGGAGGCAGAGGACAACTCGGATGACTAATTGGCATTGGTTGTGCATTGCTCAGTTGGACTCTACTTGGATGGGAATTGAACAAGTTGGTATTAAGATAAATAGGTCCGAATGTTGGCGAATCATCAGCAGGACTACCTCCGACGACAATGAAATGGAAGTAAAATGCTGATAAAGATGCTAATAAACTATAGCTACAGTTAGAAGGGATAAATAGCACAACTCTTGAAAGAACAGCACAATAATAAGGGGTGAATAGCATCATTCTTAAAATATCATTCATGTTAATTAATTTACTATCATGTCAGATTTCTAAAGGATAGTCTTTTCACCAATTAGAGGCGCTAATCTTATTATGCAGTGGCACACGGAACTAGTCATTTAGCCTATAAGTACGGGTGCAAATGAAACAAGCAGTTTACAAACAGCTGAGGTTCAAGTTCACAAGATTTTTGAGAAAGTTAAGTAAGCGAACCAACTTCAACAAATCTTGCTTGACCCACAAGGCTTAAAAACATGTTTATGAGCCACCCAGAGCAAAGTTTGAACTAGAGATTGGCTAGCAACCGAAACAAGCTGAAGATAACCTCAGCCAATATTATCCGAGTCAAAGGGAAACTAACTATGATTTCATACAAATTATCACCAACTAGTGACTTCTCAATGCTTGGCTTGAAACCCAGCAACTCAACCTAAAGAAGCTGCACTTGACAATTTAAGTCATATAATATAAGGTGGCTCATACCACCAAACAAATCTAGAAAAAGATATATAATGGAATCGAAAGATAAGCAATAAAGGATAATTCACAATATTTTCCACATAAAATCTACAAGGCATATCAAGCCCAAATGCTCAAAGAGTTCAATAGCATCATGAGTGATTTAAATCTTTTCCAAAGAATCTCAAATCAAACGCAAATGCTCCAAGAGTCCAACAGCATCACGAGTGAATAATACTTTTACATCGATATATAGTATAAATATTGTAAGCAAGGTAAAACTAACTACAAGCAGGAGAAGAGTTCACTATACAACTTCTACGGCTCTACTATTTTCACAGTTGTCCATCTTCATTTGTTTCCTCACTTTCGGTTTCTACCCCCGTCACAAACCTGAAAGACAACATTCCTTGCACATCACACACAATAAGATATCAAAGTCTAATAAAATTATTACTCCTACAAAGATACTAAAATGAAAAGGAAATTGACCATAAAACTTTCAAGTTTATGCTACCTACTAAGGTAATGACAGAAATTAGGAAATAGCAAATATAAAATGTAAAAATAAGTCAAATCGTGCATCTTGCCTGTTCTTGATTTCCTCAGCACCACACTTCCCCACAACAGCCCCAGCCCCAGGTCATGATTCCTCAGAAGTGCCTGTATCACAAAATCTATTTCCAAGTAAAACTAGGCTCTCTGTGTAAGCATCTGCGTAAAATGAGTACCTATAAATTGAATGTGTGGTCCCACGAATAAAAAGATGGGTTGATCGTCCTGCTTGGGGATCATGAGCTACCAGGTACCCATCACTCGTTGCCAGTAGAAGTTCACCTTTCCTTGTGAAGCCAGCAAGGGTATTGAATGTTTGAGTCATATCAATATTGAATTGCTGAGTCCAAGACTCCGTTACTCCATACTCTTTCATCACCCATACGCGACAAGTATTGTCTTCGCTACAACCACTAAAGAGGATGACAGCCAATGATTCCTGAAACTTGTCAACGCGAAAATAAGGGTAATTTGGCATCATCAAGTAATTGGAATGAACCATGATTCTATTAGACAGCATAATTTCACCAAATTCCTCATGACCCATGTGGAAGGACACAATCAAGCTGCCGTGACCGATCAAGCCGCGGTGACCGCGCAATGAGGAAGCAATCCAATGTGCAGCCCCATTGAGATAAGCCTGGGGAGCCTTCTCATCGATGGTGATATGTGGAAGAGCCACATGACTGATGTTGCGCCAAGTGCCGGTGCTGAGACTGAAAATGTCAATCTCCGACTTGCGGACAAACTGGAGACGCACAATCCGGACGACCTTGTAATCATCGGTGATGGAATCAAAGCCAAAGCCAATGGTATGCGTGTATGGACCGTGAGATTTAAAGGTGATAGGAAGTGGGTTAAGGGGCAAAACCTTTCGAATGGAAGGATTCCAGAGAAAGATACCAGGGATATACATGAACTGATCGTCTGAGAGGCAAATGAGGCCATTGCAGCTACCGATGATCCTAAAATAATGGTTGCAGTAGCTCTTCAATGGCAAGTCAAGCTCTTGATACTCTAAGAACATACCGTTATCATCGAAACGTAGTGAATAATGCTCTTGCTCATCCCCATCATCACGAGAAGTGTAGCTTCGAACGAGTAGAAGTTCGTTGTAGTTGTTGGATGGAGATCGATTGAGATTGAGGTGTTTGGTAATGAAACTAGGGTTTGTGAGCAGAGAGTACCATGATTTGCAGACAGAGGTGCATCGGACTAGGGTTTTGAGGGGTAGTCTAGCAAGGATGTCGATCAGCACATCTCCAGGCAGGAATAGGAAGTAATCTGACATTTTCTTCTTCTAATCCACTGTTTGTGAAGTTGAAACCCACCACAGAGATGGTGAATTCGCAGACGCGCGAGCTAAACCGCAGTCGTAATTGCTGTTTGAACGAAGGGAAAAGAAAGGAAAGGACAGGAAGGTGAAGGTACTACCACTTTTTCTCTCTACTCCTTTTATGAGTCAGTGACCGACTTCTGCTTTATAAAATATCTACTCTTCTCGTTGGACAAGTCCTGAATATGAGCATATTTTTTGTTTTGGAAATATTCTTTATTATAATTTTTCTTTTTCTATTTTTTTTTTTCTTTGCGGGCCTAACTAATAACATCTTTTTTATTATTTATTACATTGTTCGTTTCATAAAAAATGTCACAAAAAATGTCACTTTTAAAATATTGTAACTCTCACAAATTAAAAGAAGTCATTTTTAGAATACTGTGACTCTCACAAATGAACTATCTCCGTTCCCAAATCCCGACATTATTTTTGGGACGAAAGTAGTACATTCTTATTCTTCTGTGTAATGCAAGACTACATTTTTTTTTCCAATCATGTTGAATACATTTTCCTAACTTATAATTTTCTAGCTTCGTTTTTGTACACAGTCGAAACATATTTCAACCATGGATCTTTCTTTTTCACGGCCAACTGATTTTCTTCAAACCTTTTCTTCCACCATCTCCATGTGAAATGCTTCAATCCCTAAATGGATGGATCGATCCATAACTCATTTTCTTCTTCTGATTAAGTTTGTTCTAGTTGATCTCCACCATTTAAACAATTAAACCTCTAACAATAGATTCAAATACGTGTTACATATGAAATCTGAATACTAATTCAAAGTTAATTTTCATTTTTCGGTCGAGTCATAGCAGATTGCTTTGTTCACAGGACGAAACTATAGTATTTTCTTCACCGGACGAAACAATAGTTGCTTTGGAGCAATGGTATCGACTTCGGGCGAATGATTCCAACAACTATATACGAAAAAATATCAACTATATACAAAAAAATATAAAATTCCATATGCCACAAGCATTACTCTTTTCACCGATGATACTGAAAATAATAAAACAAGATGTAACCTTATAGGCTTACAGTGCAGTGGATCACCAAACTTTAAAATTCAAAATAGACATTCACTTACTTGAGAAGCAAAAAGGGAGGGAAAAAATAGTGCGAAGATTGAGTTCTTTTTTTGTTTTTTTTGTTTTTGTTTTTTCACTAACCAAATAAAACGATAACTACGAGCCAGAGCACCCATCAAACATAGGAAGATTTAGATTGCAGCGCTACCCTTCTCACTTCATGGGCAGCTTGATTGCATGATTTGGAGATCCACTTCAAAGAAATATTCGGAATTCGATGGAGAAAATAACTGATATCTTCAAAAATCACATTGAGTTCCTCTTCTGAAACTTGCATCTCCGTCACAGCTTTCCTGCAATCACCCTCACTAATTACATTAGAGGCCCCAGATGGATAGAAATCGATCAACTAGATATTCTGCGATTGCTGACAAGACAAAAGGAAAGAACAGAGAAGCTAACTTGACCGTGTGACGATAGGAATTTTGAATGACTTACCCAATCATTGTGATTTTTCCAAATATGCCAAAATAAAATGGCAGCAAGACTGGCACATTCTTGAAAGCACTCACCCATTTTCCAATGTTTGCTAAAGAGATCCATCCCATTTGCCATGACATGTCATTTGAATCACAGGAATCTAATCGCAGAGGACTTAATTTCATAGAGATTGGGTAATAGGACACTTACAAAGAAGGTGATCTACTGTTTCCACATCTTGATCACACCCTTTGCATCGATCTTGGCTTACCATAACTTACCATAACGGCATCAAAAGATAAGCAATAATGGATCATTGACAATATTTTAAGCATAACATCTACAAGGCGTATCAAGCCCATATGCTCCAAGAGTTCAGAAGTGCAGTAAGTGACTTAAATCTTTCACAAAGAAAGTTTTTAACTACATCGATATATAGTTTATATATTGTAAGCAAAGTAAAACTAACTAGAAGCAGGGGAATAGTTCACTATGCAACTTCTACAGCTCCACTCTTTTCATAGTTCTCCATATTCACTTGTTTCCACATTTTCATTTTCCACCCCGCTCACAAACCTGAAAGACAACATTCCATGCACATCAGACACAATAAGATATCAAGATCTAATATATTTATTACTCCAAAAAAGATAACAAAATGAAAAAGTAATTGACCATAAAACTTTTAAGTTTATGCTACCAACGAAGGTAATGGCGACAGGGATACTAAAATGTGGTTTGACATTCATAAGAAGCAATAACAAAAATAAGCAAGTATAGAATGTAAAAATAAGCGACATTGTGTATTTTGCCTGTTCTTGATTTCGTCAGCTCCACTCCCCCCTTCAACAGCCCCAGCCCCAGCCCCAGCCCCAGGTGATGATTCCTCAGAAGTGCCTGTATCACAAAATCTCTTTCCAAGTAAAACTAGGCTCCGTGTAGGCATTTACATATAATGAGTACTTATATGTTTGATCTGTAGTCCCACGGATTGAAAGATGAGTTAATCGTCCAGCTTGGGGATCGTAAGCTACCAAGTACCCATCAGTCATTGCCAGTAGAAGTTCACCTTTCCTTGTGAAGCCAGCAAGGGTATTAAATGTTCCAACCATATCAAAATAGAATTTCTTAGTCCAAGACTCCACTACTCCATACTCTTGCATCACCCATATGCAACAAGTCTTGTCTTCAGGACCAGTAAAGTGGACGAGAGCGAGCGATTCCTGAAACTTAGCAACCCGGAAATAAAGATCACTTGTCATCAGGAATGATCCTACGCCTCTGGCATGAGCCGTGATGTTATGAGGAAGCATAATTTGACCAAATTCCTCACGACCCATGTGGAAGGACACGATCAAGAAGCGGCCAGTGTGCAGCCCCATTGAGGAAGCAACCCAGTGTGCAGCCCCCTTGAGAAAAGCCTGGGGAGCCAGCTCATTGATGTTGATATTTGGAAGCGCCAAATGACTGATGTTGCCCCAAGTGCTGGTGCTCAGACTGAAAATGTCAATCTCAGGTGGCTGGTGGTAGTCACTTTCAAAATGCACAATCCGGATGACCTTGTAATCATCAGTGATGGAATCAAAGCCAAAGCCAATGTTGGCAACGAATGGACCGTGGGATTGAAAGGTGACACGAACCGGTGGAAGGGGAAAAACCTTTCGAATTGAAGGATTCCAGAGAAAGAGATCATTGACATACCTGAACTGATCATCTAAGAGGCAAATGAGGCCATTGATGCTACCTATTATCCTAATTAAAACAAACATTTTGAATTGATAAATAACATAATTAAAGCATTGCAAAAGAAAAGTAAGTTATTGGAACATTCTTTGAATGGAAATTGCGATTGGACAAAAGAAATAAATATTTAATAAATAACGTAGAGTCAATTGAATATGAAATTCATGTTTTGTGGGTGGTGCTAGACGGTTTGGAAAGATTACACACTTTTCTATTTAAAATTTTTTTCATAAACTTATTCTCCTAATTATTTGCTTCAAAATCTTCTCTTCCTTGATTTTCTTCCCTTTTGTATTTCAAATTGGTTCAATCTCAGTGTGCTTTGCCTTAGATATCTCTGTTCCCAGTTCCCTTAGCCGAGTACCTTCTTCGTCAACTACTAATTCCCTCGACCGGGTCAGCTTTAGTTGCTAGAAAGTTGCTAATTTTTAGCAACTTCTTTTCATAATTCTGGCAGTCGTCTTATTCCCTAAATAGCCCAACCTCTAATACACATAAAAGCCACTTGTCTCATTTAGATTTCTCCACATCATTCTTGACACGGCTGCCATCCTCTATTATCTCTTCTTTTCTTTTCCAGTTAAATCCCTAGGGATTTAGTTGTTTCACGTTAACCAAATCTCTTAGTCTTTCCTTCCCCGTTAACAACCCATTTGAATTAAGTCAAATATTAGTTGCTATATTTCAGTAACAACCTTGTAGATGAGGTGGCTGAGTATCTTCTCCTAAATTATCTCCTAATATTTCTCAACTGACTTCTCTTGAAAACCATATTGAACACTTGTTGGCTCCTCACTGGTCCACATCATCACTGAGGTGGCTGTCAAGTTTTGGCGCCAACACCATGTCTGGTGTTAGTGAAAAGCAAATCGATAGTTATTCAAATTAACAAATACAAAGTAAAATGGAAAAATAAAAAAGCAACTTAGAACAACTTTAACAATACTATAAATAATAGTAGTAGTAGACTGTGTAAAGGATCTAAAACCTTCAGAATCCTTAGCATAATTAAATTTTCTTTAATGGACTTTGAAGTGTCAGGTTTTGACTCTCTGTATCTACTGATTTAACTTTTAACACTTCTTACCTTGAAAAAAAAAAAATGTCTAATTCAACTTAGTTAGATTCTTTATTTCTTTACCTTTTGCAATCACTTTCTTTCAATTTCAACTTGTTTACAATTTCAATCCACATTTCCTTGCAATTCTTTTGATTTAAAATCCCTTCTAGTTAAGCCAATTATAATCTTAAAAGAAAGTTTCATGTTCTCTCAATGTATAATTGTCTGGTTGACTATTTTTAAAAAAAATACTAAGTTCGATCATTCTTACACAACTACAAACGAAACTTTTGGTTATGGAGTGTCAATCATTTTCTAAATTCTACGGATTTATTAGTCAACACTTTGTGCACCTTCTAAGAATTTTCCAAGTTTTTAGAAGACTATACTGTTTGTGAACTGATTTAAACCGGTTGACTTGATGGACTCTTCCCATAGCAGACATGTGACATGTGGGCCATGTCTTAAATGCAATTGTGCGACTAAGAAGAGATTGGGCTATAATACCCCTAATTTTAAAAGGATAGTCTCGGTATTTATTAATTTGTTTTTATTACATTTTTAATTATTTAATTGATTATTTGACTAATTGCTTATGTATTTAATTGAATTAAGTGTTACTTGATTAATTGGTTATTTGTCTATGTGCTATTTGTATTATTTGTTTAATTTGATTATGTGCTTAAATGATGTGTTTGATTAAATATTTTATTTTATTTTATTGTATTTTATTTTATGGTTATGGTTTGTAGTAATGGGCCATCCAATTAGGTCCCATGGACTACTTGGATGGAGGTTTGATGGGTATGGATAATTACCCATGAATGATTGTATATGTATATATATAGATATATATGTATATACATATATAAAAGGGAAAATAATTTATTAATTACCTTTATGGTAACTTTAGTATTAATATTTAATATGATGTATATATTTTACCATTATATAATAAGGATATACATAAATTTTAAA